AAACATTATGTGCATTTTACTAGATAGTATGCAATATGCCTACTCGATTCTTCGTTTCGTTGCTCTATCATCTGTTGATCCCCGATTATGAGTCCAACTTAATTCCTTGGGCTTTTACTCAGACTTCAAAGCTCCAAATCACTTGAATTCATTCCATAATATCTATATAGCTCAGAATCACTCCTACAAGACATAAAACACACACTTAGTGCAAAACACTAGAGATTAAAGCGCAAACTCAACTAAAGTGCAGTAAATTAGACTATAATAATTGACTAAAATACGCAATTATAGTCTATCATCAGAGTCCCTCAACAACGAGATTTTTGAGAAGCAGGAGGAGCTCGAGAAGGCATAGTTTTCTCGTTTGGATGCTCAGAGAAATGCGGAGATGCTCGAGTTGGAGAATAGGACCTTTCAAGGCTGAGGCTGCCCTTGAAGATACCCGTGTTAAGGCTCGTGAAGCTTGAGTCACTTGTGGATATGATCCCGCTATGCCTCAGGCTGATGAGGAGGATGGGGAAGAGGGTGTGGACCGACTCGAGGAGGATGCCTGGTATGACACCACTTATCATCAGGGCGAAGGTGGCCATAGTGACAGGGGCCTAGATGGTGAGCTCGCAGAGGCTCGTGATGGCGAGGGCCAGTAGCCTTTTTCTTAGACTTCTTTTTTATTTTTTCTTCATCTTTAAGATCCCTTGTAATGAACTCTGCAGATTTTTGTATATGGGAACTCAAGTTGTTTTTTGTACTTCCATACATGTTATTTGTTTTTGTGCTCATGTGCTTTTCTGTTGTCGTTTGCTTGTTTACGACTTGTGCTCTTTCTATTATCGTTGTCATCTAGTTGGTCGTAGCCTTTTTAACTGTTATTTGTGGACCGTATCTACCTTTTGTTTATATAAGTCGGTTGTGACTCTTTATTTAAATTAGGTTGATAGGTGTTGTTTGAACTTGGCTGATTTTGGTCTTTTGCCAAGTCGTGACTGAGGGACGAAAAATGTTGTTTGAGTTGGGTCGAACTTTACCCTTTATTAAGTTTCAATCGAGGGCCGATAGATATTGAGCATGATCAAACCTAACCTCTTATTACATTGAGGTTGAGGGCCGAAAGGTGTTATTCTAGCGTGGTCGAACCTAACCTTTTATTAAATCGTGACCGAGGGACGATAGGTGTTGTTCAAGCATGGTTGAACATAATCTTTTATTAAATCGTGGTTGAGGGCCGATGGGTGTTGTTCGAGCGTGCTCGAACATAACCTTTTATTAAATCATGGCCGATGGCCGATAGGTGTTGTTCGAGCGTGGGCGAACATGACCTTTTATTAAATCATGGCCGATGGCCGATAGGTGTTGTTCGAGCGTGGGCGAACATGACCTTTTATTAAATCGTGGTCGAGGGCCGATAGGTATTGTTTGAGAGTGGTCGAACATAACCTTTTATTAAATTATGGCCGAGGGCCGATAGATGTTGTTCGAGCATGGTTGAACATAACCTTAACACAAAAAGTTGTCCTGATAAATGCAAGTTTCTTATTACTTCAATGTTGTTGCTTTAGTTACATATTTGGAGAGAGTTACAGATTTTGGATGTTGGATGGCGTCCCAATCCCAGTCCTAGTCCTAGTCTACCTAGTCCCTTCATTGTTTAACTTAGAGAGTATCGAGGAGTTGGGCAATGGAAACAAATGAGCTCTTCAATTTTCGCTTTCAACTCAGTGTCATGAATCAGCATCTCCGTAGTTAGATGAGACCAGTTAAACCAAGGCCAAAGCTAGGTGAACGGAAGGGGTTTCACCCAAACTCTCTTTGCCAAAAATTATACTATATATACAAGGTTAATTTTTTTCTTTCATGTATATGTGAATTAGGTGTTGCATACCCTTAGTGATCCCCTTGGTGAAGAATTCTGTTTTCACCACCAAATTAAACGAATCTGTACTATCACTAAGAAGGTGCCTCTTAATAACAGTCCGATCCACTGTTATTCTCACCGAATCGAAATCAGGCTTTAATACCAACTTGAATGATACAAATGTTCAAAAAAATAATTTACTGATAATCCATGAATATAATCTTAATATATATCTTGAATGTTCTCCGCACTGAAAATAGCTAGCAAAGTAGCAATAATTATATTTATAATAGCTTTACTTTACTTTTGTAGAGACATGGTCTTGTACTCTTGTAATTCAATACTCTAAAGTTGTTGCAACTGTTATTCGACGTGTGTCGTTTATTGGAACAAAAAATACATGTTAAGATAAAGCGCGACCGAAATTTTTATGTTGTTTTAGATGTTAAGTATTGATATTATTATTATCATTGTTATTATTTTTAATTTATTTATGTTGAGTTAAAACAATTATACAACAAAAGCTTAGACAATATATATAAAAAAAGAGATTAATATTAAGAAATGAGAGCAAAATAGAACAATATACTAATTGAGACAAAATAAATATGAGGGAGAATATTTTTTGTTATTTCTTTTCTTGGTATATCTTTCATAGGGTCAAAAGTTCCCTATTTATAAAGGTACAAATTCATTCACTAGTTATAAGTTAATGTACTTTTTAATTGAGTACATGAATACAAAGTACGTTAAATGGACATACAAATTCATTCACCTCACTCACATGCATTCATCTCATTTATAACACTCCCCCTTGAATGTCCATTTAAAAGATAATGTGCCTCGTTAAACCCTTACTAGGAAAACCCAGTGGGAAAAAGCCTAGTGAAGGAAAAAGAGTACACATATCTTGTAATACGCATTGAGTGTTGCCTCATTAAAAACCTTACCAGGAAAACCCACTTGGGACAAAACCTTGGTTAAGGGAAAAAGAGTACAACGCGTATTATACTCCCTCTGACGAAAGCTTTATTTGATATGTCGAAGACGGCGCATTCCAATATTATGTCTCAGGTTCTCAAATGTTGATGTTATTAATGCCTTAGTGAATAAATCTGCTAGATTGTCACTTGAACGGATTTGTTGAACATTTATCTCACCATTTTGCTGAAGATCGTGTGTGAAAAAGAACTTTGGTGAAATGTGCTTTGTTCTGTCTCCTTTGATATATCCTCCTTTAAATTGAGCTATGCAAGCAGCATTGTCTTCATACAATATCATTGGAATCTTCGTTTTTAAATAAAGACCACACAGTTGTTGAATATGTTGAGCCACTGATCTCAATCATACACATTCTCGACTAGCTTCATGAATAACTATTATCTCTGCATGATTGGAAGATGTACCAGCTAAAGTTTGTTTTGTTGAACGCCATGAAATGGCTGTATCCCCACAAGTAAATAGATAGCCTGCTTGAGATCGGGCTTTATATGGGTCATACAAATAACCTGCATCTGCATAACCAATCAACTGTGAATCGGATTAATAAGAATAAAATAATCCCATATCAATAGTCCCTCGGAGGCATCTAAAAATATGCTTAACACCATTCCAGTGTCTTGTTGTTGGAAAGGAACTAAATTTTGCTAATAAACTTACTGTAAAAGTTATATCTGGTCGAGTATTATTTGCAAGATACATTAGTTCCCCAATTGCACTAAGATATTGAGTTTCATCACCAAGAAGCTCTCCATCATTTTCATGAGGTCGGAATGGATCTTTATTTATATCAAGTGATCTCACAATCATAGGGGTACTCAATGGATGTGCTTTATCCATATAAAAACGCTTTAGGATCTTTTCAGTATAAGTTGATTGATGGACAAAAATTCCATCTTTCATATGCTCAATTTGTAGACGAAGACAAAATTTTGTCTTTCCAAGATCTTTCATTTCAAACTCTTTCTTCAAACAGTCTACTGCTTTTGGAAGTTCCCCAGGAGTTCCAATGATATTTAGATAATCAACATATACAACGATTATAACAAATTCAGATCCAGACCTTCTTATAAATACACATGGACAAATTGGATCATTCTTATACCCTTCTTTCAGCAAATACTCACTCAGGCGATTATATCACATTCGCCCTAATTGTTTCAATCTGTATAAGAGGATTTTTGAAGCTTTATTGAACAAGTTTTCCAAAAAAATTTATTAGTTTTAGGAACTTCAAGCCCTTCGGGGATTTTCATATAAATTTCGTTATCTAATGTGCCATATAAATAGGCTGTGACAACATCCATTAGATGCATATCAACTTTTTCATGGACTGCCAAATTTATAAGATACCTGAAAGTGATTGCATCCACCACAGGAGAAATATGTCTACATATAATCAATGCCAGGTTTTTGCGAAAATCTTTGTGCCACAAGTCGTGCTTTATATCTAACGACTTCTTTTTTATCATTTTGTTTTTGCACAAAAACCTATTTGTATCCACTAGCTTTATTCCTTCAGGTGTTCGGACTATACGTCCAAATACTTTACGTTTTTCAAGTGATGTTAATTCTGCCTGGATAGCGTCTTTCCATTTTGGCCAATCATTTCTCTGCCTACATTTATCGACGGATCTTGGTTCAAGATCCTCATTTTGTTGCATTATTTCAATCGCAACATTATAAGCAAAAATGTTGTCGATAATAATATTATTTCGGTTCCACCTTTTTGCCGTAGAGACATAACTTATTAAGATCTCTTCATTCTTATATTTTCAGGTACCTGGACCTCCTTTGAGGTCTTATCATTTGTTATGTCACAAGGCTCTTTTTGAGCAATTGCCTCTATATTATGATCTCCTAGATCATTTGTTCCTTTTCGTTTTCGAGGATTTTTATCTTTGGAACCAATTGGTCTACCACGTTTCAAGTGTGGCTTAGACTCATTTGTATTTATAAATTGTCCAACTAGGACATCAATTCAAATAGGAGCATTAGCAGTTGGGATATGCGATTTAGTCACTTTTGGTAGGTTAGTGAATGCATCTGGCAGTTGATTTGCAATATTTTGCAAATAAATTATCTTTTGAACCTCATGTTCACATTGCCTTGTTCGAGGATCTAAATGAGATAGTGATAATTCATTCTAATCTATCTCCTTTTGCAATTTCTTGTTTTTCCCCCCTAATATTGGGTATACTGATTCATCAAAATGGCAATCAGTAAATCTTGCCGTAAATAAATCTCCAATCATAGGTTCCAAATATTTTATAATAGAAAGAGATTCATACCCAACATATATCCCCAATCTTCTTTGGGGTCTCATCTTTGTACGTTGTGGTGGAGCAATTGGAACATATACTGCACATCCAAATATTCTAAGATGGGAAATATTTGGCTCCTGACCAAAAGTCAATTGTATTGGGGAGACTTTATGATAACTTATAGGTCTGATCCGCACAAGAGCTGTTGCATGCAAAATAGCATGGCCCCATGCTAAAATGTGAAGTTTTGTTCTCATAAGCATTGGTCTAGCAATTAATTGGAGGCGTTTGGTCAATGATTCTGCTAGACCATTTTGAGTATGAACATGAGCAACTGGATGCTCAATTGTTATCCTAGTTGATATGCAATAATCATTAAAGGTCTGGAACGTAAATTCCCCAGCATTATCAAGATGAAGTGTCTTAATTGCATAATCTGGAAACTGTGATCTTAATCTTATTAATTGAGCTAGTAACCTCGCAAAGGCCAAATTGCGGGTTGATAACAAGCACACATGTGGCCATCTTGTAGATGTATATATCAAAACCATGTAATATTTGAATGATCCGCATGGAGGATGTATGGGCCCACATATATTACCCTGTATACGTTCCAAAAATGCAGGGGATTCAACTCCAACTTTAATTACTGATGGTCTAATAATTAGTTTTCCTTGAGAACATACAGCACAAGAGAATTCTTTAATTTGAAGAATCTGTTGGTTCCTCAATGAATGACCATGTGAATTCTTAATTATTTTGTGCATCATATTATAACCGGGATGTCCCAACTGGTCATGCCAAATAATAAAATCATTACTAAACTTCTTGTTTACTATGACATGTGATTCAACTACACTAATATTAGTGTAGTATAATCCGGAGGAAAATGCGGGAAGCTTTTCAAGCACATACTTCTTTTTTGCTTTTATTGTAGTAATATAAAGGTATTCAACCTTTCCTTCATTGGCAGTCTCAATATGATAGCCATTTTGGTGAATATCTTTGAAACTCAACAAGTTTCTTTGAGACCTACTACAATATAATACATCATTAACAGCCAATATAGTTCCTCCTGGTAGTAATACAGTAGCTCTTCCAGAGCCCTCAATTAATTTTGTACTACCAGATATTATAATTATATTGGCTTCTTTCATAATTAAATAAGAGAAATATCTCTTATCTTTTAATATGGTGTGCGTCGTAGCACTATCCAGAAGACATATTTATTTTTTATTATTCATACGGTCAACTGAAGACAGGGAAGTTTTCATATTCTTCAAGAAGAAGAAAATAATCATAAGTAATATTGAAAATTATAAGAACAAAAGAAACTACATTTATGAAATTAAATACCAACAACATAAAAAGTTTTATTCAAAATATGAACTTCATAAAAAGAAATACATTTATTCTTATAATTTTTCCCAAAAATAAGTCTTCAGTTATGATGCTCAAAGAAGTCTCCAGCTTCTAAATGAGTAATATCTGCAAGACCTTCAAAAATATCATCTTTATAGGCAATGTTTGCTTCAACTTTATCATGATTATTCATAGGGCCCGCCTCAACATCATTTTGAAAGTCAAGTGAGTCTCAACTTTATTTTGTTTTCCTTTTATAGATGCTTGATAAAGTTTGACAAAATGCTCAGGTGTACAATAAATTCGTGCCCAATGATTTTTCATACCATATTGGTGGCAAACATTACCTTTGCCTTTTGAAGGATTACTCTGAGAATCCTTATTGTTCTCTTGTTTATAACGACCACCACCATGGCGATTATTATTTCGCCCCTTGCCACGCCCACGTATATTTATACGACTACGATAATTATTTTGTCTTTTTTCAGACTTTGGATCAATAATTCCCAGATTCACTTCTGGAAATGGAGCTGATCCAGTGGGACGGGCTTCATAATTTTTCATTAAAAGGGCATTATGTTGTTTAGCCACCAAAAAACATGAAATTAACTCAGAATATTTCTTAAAGCCCTTTTCACGGTATTGCTGTTGTAACACCATATTTGAGGCATGAAAAGTGGAAAGAGCCTTTTCCAGCATGTCTTCATCATTCATAGGTTCCCTACATAATTTTAGTTGGGAAATTATTCTATATACAACAGAACTATATCCATTTATGCTCTTATAATCTTGTAGTCGTAAGTGCATCCACTCACGACGAGCTCTTGGCAATACCGTGGCCTTTAAGTGGTCATATCGCTCCTTTAAACTAGTCCATAATTGAAATGGATCTTTCAAGGTTAAATATTCACTTTTTAACCCTTCATCGACATGATGGCGAAGGAAAATTATGGTTTTTGCCTTATTCTGACTTGATGCTTCATTTCCTTCTTTAATAGTGTCACCAAGACTTTTAGCGTCAAGGTGAATTTCAGCATCAAGTACCCATGGCAAATAGTTATTACCAGAGATGTCAAGTGCCATAAATTCAAGCTTTGACAAATTCGACATAGTGGAAACTATCATAGAAATAAGTGAATTAGAATGAAAAGAATTATTGTCAATGAAAAATTCAGTGCAGTACATAATCGTGTATTAATATTCTATATGTATATTTATCAAATAAATAATTATGTGCAGTGCGATGATAAATTAGTGTTTAATATTACCCACCAAAACTTTAGATATATAAGTATATTTTCATAGAATAAATAAGTTGAATTAATATATACTATTATAATTTTGTTCTACTTAGAATACGTTTCAATAAGCTAAGTAGGCATAAAACTAGATGATATCAATTCTGACAAGTTTCAACATTCAATACGATACATCTAATAGTTAAGTCGTTAATTTTAAAGTCATTAATTAGTTTGTACATTTAGGTGATAGATTTATTGAATACACATTTAAACCTTTTGAAAATTTTGCAAGAATTCCTTCTAAATGCATATTCTGTTAGAATATTAGACGTGGGCTTAATTAGTCTAATTATTTTAATGCAATTTTAATATTTATTTATGTATGTGTATGATTAAACTTCTTCGTAGTTTATATAATGAAATAACAATTTAATTGGAACTTATTGTTTCCATACCAATGCAATTATTATAATCATATTCAAAACAAGTTATGCATATGGTAATTAAATTGCATGTTAAAGAAGATCCTAATAGAAATATTATAAACATAGGAATGTATACCTGAATCGGAAAAGAAACTGACTACCTCTTTTAGGAAGAAGATAAAATTCGGATGAAGCAGATAATCTCAGTTGGTTAGAACCTCGTGCTGATAACGTATTAAAAAATGAGAGCAAAATAGAACAATATACTAATTGAGACAAAATAAATATGAGGGAGAATATTTTGTTATTTTTTTTCTTGGTATATCCTTCATAGGGTCAAAAATTTTCTATTTATAAAGATACAAATTCATTCACTAGTTATAAGTTAAATGTACTTCTTAATTGAGTACATAAATACAAAGTACGTTAAAAGAACATACAAATGCATTCAGCTCACTCACATGCATTCATCTCATTTATAACAATTAAAAAATTACTAACAAATGCTACCAACCAAAGTAAGTGAAGTGACGATTAGGATTCTGAAAATGGGTCCGCGTGCACTAAGTGATAATTACATATTGACATACTCAATTGACACATATATTACGATAAGATACATCCTTACCAGAAATTTAAAAAAAAAAAAAAATAGGATGGAAGAACCAAAAAGGTAGGAAAATGAATAGAATAGATCAGACATAATCCAAATATATGAAACAAAACTTGCATTGTAATTTGTAAGCTCCACAACTTTTTATATTTCATAATTATACAACTTTATAATTATCTTCTTTTTTTTTGGTCGGTCCATTCTTTATTGCCCTCCTATCTTTTGGCCTACTTCTTCTCTTCATCATATTCTCCACTTAGGTTGGAGAAGGGGGAAAGGTGTACATATGAGTGTTATTATGGTGATGACAATTGTTTATGACAAAATGAATATTTTTTAATGTGTGAAACAAAATGTAGACCTTGTAAATTATTTGTTTACCTCAAAAATACGATACAATTAATTTGATTTGTGATTTTAAAGATATATGATTTAATTTAATACCAATTAATAATCAAGAAAATATGAAGTAGAAGTGAAAGAAATAAGTAAATCAAACCAATATAACTCGACAGCAGTGACCTCGATCTTAGTGACCACGAGGTGGGTTTAGAACAGTAAGAACAATCAAGCAAGAAAAGTAAAGTAAGAGCAGTGGAGCAAAAGGAAGATTCTGATGAACAGTAGGCAAAAAGTAGAGAGTATATTCTTTTCTCAATGATTAGATGAGTCTTACAAATGATTGGGTCCCCTTTATATAATAGGAAACCCTAAATAAGGTATATTTCTATTTACAATAAGGAATATTTTTGGTACAGCTGTCTAACTGCCTAGTACGGAACAATACGATCCTATTCCGTGATTTGCGCCATGATTTTGAGAATGTAGCAGGAATCTAGCTCATTCTGCTGTAAATTCATAATGTTACAATTTCAGGGTCGAGCATACTCAGCCTTGGAACTCTTCATACTCTTATCTCTTGAGCATTGCATTCTGTCTTCGAACTTGAATCTGTCCACCGAGCTCGAAGTCGACCTCGCCCGGACTTGGGTCCAAGATGGACCTTCAAGCCTGTAAATCGAAGGCCTCTGATTTTTTACGTATACAACGTTAAGGATATAGACAAAATATTAACGTCTTTTAAAATTAAGATTGAGGATTCTCTGTGGTTGGTTGCAATTATGTCCATAGGGGCCACTTTTTTTTTTCTTCTGGAAAAGGTATNAGTGAAAATACATAATAATGCAAGTCAAACCACGTGTGGATCATGTTGCATGAACTCAGCTATGAATATACGGAGTCGAATCCAGGAATTTGAGAGGATGGGTGCACCAAACATCTTCAAAGTAGAGGTGTACATAGGTCGGGTCAGTTCGAATTTTTCAATTACCAAACCAAACCAATAGTGTCGGGCTTTTAAATTTATAAACCAAACCAAACTAAACCAATAAAGTCGGGGTTTTCAATCTCAATTTTCGGGTTTTTTCCCAGTAAAGTCGTAATAGCACAAAATATGTAACTTGTTCTCCAAATATTTATTTTAGTCATAGTAGGATATAAATATATAATATATTTTCCAAGAAAATAAAATAATAATATGAGATGAGATGAGCCATAACTCATAACATTGTACTAAAATATTCAATAACAAAGATAATAAAATCGCACAAAAAAATATTACTAATTAATACACCACCAGTGCTATTACGTAGATCACTCTTTATAAAAGCAAACAAAATAACTGAGATTAACAATAAAATAAAAAATAAAAAATATACTTGCTTAAGGAGTACAAAAAATGGGAAGATCCTTGCGCTGGTAATAGAGATTCTAAAATACCATTCTGGAATTGCAAGATTATAGCGATATGAACCGAGAGAGGGACAGATGATACACTGATTTGGGGTTTAGAACAAGAGAGAGAGAGGGAGGGAGACGCAATTTACTTTTGAATTTTGGCGTGAATCACTGAATTGGGATGGAGATTTGGAGGGAATATTTGATATTTGGCATTAAAAAAACTAAAAAGAAATAATACAATGATGCTATCGTGCGAAACAAATACTAAAAGAGAGGAATGGGGGCAGTTGAGGAAATAAAGAAAAGGCCCAACTAGTACTAGTACACCAGTTGAAGTGATTTGGAGTAGATTTGAGTTAAATTTCATAAAAGACGAAGTCATTTTTTTGTATAATTATGTATAATCTTGTATAATATTGTATATGAGTGTAGAAACACACTTTATACACTATTATACACTTTTATACATCTTTATACAAGCGTATGTAGACGAACTTCTTCCACGATTTTCAGTTGCAACTTTTTGTTCAAAACCAGTCCAAATCTCCATTAAATGACTTCATATTTTATATACAACCTCCTTATACTATTTCTAACAAGTCTAAATAACACCTGCTCCAAATTTCTCACAAAATCAAATTCGAAATTTAAACTCACATACTTAAGCTTGTTAAAAATCTAATTTTCACCACCCAAATAAATTTGGTTTGTTGAACTAATATTTGAGTCATAGTTACTGATTCGAAAATTAACTTAAAAGCTTGAGGAGTCTTTTTTAAAAATTAACAAGTAATTTTGAGAACTCATTGGAGTTGAATTTTGAATATTAGCCTATTATGTTTGGGCTAATTGGTTGTAAATTGAAATACAGGTTATAAAATTAAAAAGTAGGGAGCTCAGTTGATGTAATAAGAAATTTTTCCCGATTTTTTACCTATGCATTTTTTCATACGCGTTCGTTGGGTCAGTTATCCTTTGTCATTTCACCCTTGTCTTGTATTCCAGGTTTTGGAAACATTGGTCCAGTTTGGAGCTCCAAAGAAAATTTTGGTTGATGGAAAACCTCATCTAGGAACTGATAAATTGGTACCACTTCTTCAAAATTTCCGGCGGTACCTGGAAGAGCTGGGTGTAAGTAATTGCACCTAATTTTTGTCAATTCCAATAAATTAATCAAATTCAAAATTTGATTCAGATAGGAATTCAAAAAAAATGGTAGGTACATTTTTTTCATTCACAAAAACGACTAATTTAAACCTAAAATCCTAAAATGAAGAAGATTCTGTTAATTCATTTCTAGATCTAATAGATACGACGATACCAACTTATCTTAGAAAAGAATATGAGACTTTTAGTAGGCGTTTGGACATTAAAAATGTGATTTTTGGAAAAAGCAGTTTTTGGAGTTAAACTGAAAAAATGTACTCCCTCTATTCCACTTTATGAATTTATTTCCTTTTTGGTCTGTTACTTTATTTTTTTTTTGGTTTGTTCCAAAAAGAGTGACCAGCATCTCGTGGAGAACCAGCAGAAACTTCAGGTCAGGGTGTAGAAGGGTCATTCAATCTTCTGATAGGCTGTTTAGCATTTTATCCGCACATTAAACAAATCTGTTTAGCATTTTATCAAGATCGAGTTGAATGATTTGATGTTCTGGTGTTGTCGTAGAGATATTATAACACCTGACAATAATTCTTTTTAATTCATGTCAGCACCTACTTAGGTCTAGAGGTATACTTGAGCCAAGCTCTCGGTCTTGTTTTACTGATGGTGCTCGACTCTAAATGCAAAATGAGCTTCAAACAAAGCACTCGAGCTCAAGTGCAAGCCTACCTTGAAATTCAAATGAGCTCATAATAATTTTGTGTTTGAGCTTTTATTCGAGATTTCGAGCGTATAATATTTGAATAATACCAATTCATGGCCCTGAAAAATGGTTTGGAAATCGCTGATAGAGAAGGTCACATGAGATGGTTTGTCTGTGTTTTACATAGACTTCTAAATGCACTAGCTTGTATGTGTGATAGTATGTTGATTGACGGGGATATAAAGGGGTAGAGTAGACCTAAAATCACGTGGAGAGAAGTTGTCTCAAGAATTACAATCTCCTAGCATCATTATGACTTAGCTAAGGTTAGAGGTGAATGAAGTAAAGTATCCACATAGGTGATATCTATTAGTGGGGTTAATGCCTAGCTGTTATCATTGCACTTACATTGGTTAAGTGTTGGTTGTAGTCTTGTATATGCATGTAGAAGTAAGTGTAAGTTTTAAAGAACCTCCAGATCCAAAGAAGCCCTCATTTGCTCTTATACTGTATTAAAAAGTGAGTTGGACCTCTAGTTAATTGAGTGATTGCTATATGTGTGAAAATGGGATGGAAACTTAAAATCATTTTTTTTTTTTTTTGCATTTTGTAGAATTAAGATTTGGTACATGTTTCTATCTTGTCGAGGTTCTTCAATTGATGCCTATCACTTGAAGAAATTTTTTGTAGTTGGAAGGGGAGGAAAACTCTATGGAACAACAGAAAATTGTGGAATGTTATTCCTCTTGATGTCAATTGTGAGTGCTTTGAAGGAAATAAAGAGCCTCTATGCACCTTGAATTAGGATTTTCTTCATCTTTTGGTTTAAATGTTTTACATGACATAGAAAACTTGCAAAGACCGGAAGGTGAGGGAAACTCTTAAGTTAACAGAAAGTTGTAGAATGCTTTTCCTTTGTATGTCCCATGGTTGGAGAGTGAGGAGCAGTCAATGCTTCGAAGGAAATAAACAGCCTCTATGCACCTTGAAATATGCTTGTCTTCAGCGTTTGAATCTTTTGTTTAAATGATTTACATGACATGGAAAACTTGATTGAGTTTGTCAGCTGCCACACAGCTAACAGCGAAGAATCCTTTTGTATCACGAACTCCTTTTTGTGGATATTAACGAAAAAAGGCGCAACCGGAGAAAAAGTAAAAATATGTGTATGCAGTCCAACACTAATAATTATAAGCATGAATAACAAATATATGGACAAAGAAATTGAAAAAAAATTATGAAAAAGGTAAAATATCAATTGTTTAATGTTGCATTTACAGGATTACACTCATTGGCAAGGAAAAGTATGCCTTAGAGCCTTGATGAAATACTAAAGCGCACACAAAGCGAGGGGAAGCACTCAACATGTTTTGAGCCTCGCTTCAGGGCTTAAACGCGCTTTAAGCGCGCCTTTGACAACACTGGTTAGAAAATGTTCATTGGTCTGAAGTAAATACAATCTGATTATGCTACAACTGGATCATTATGGGCTTCTGTAGTCTTCTTTGCTTAATTACATCTTCTGACCATCTTATTAAAACCTTAGTTGCTGAATTCTGACAAAGATAAGTATGTCTTCAGCTCTTTAAAACTTAGGTAATTCCTTTTCCATATAGACGACAGCTATGGTTTCCTTGACACTAAAAATGCTTCTTTGAGCTTTCATTCTTTGGGGAGGGACTAGAAAATGGCAAATTAGTTTCCCTGACAAAGATCAAGAAATAGGGAAGAAATAATTTTTAGGATGAAATTAATTAATAGGCTGCAGCTACTTGCATGTAGTTATAAGTTCTTTGACTCTTTCCTTTCCAGTCATCGACGTGCTTCTCCAGCGTGAAGTACGTGTGTGGTTCTGTGTGATAAACCTGACATGTCCCTGTTTGCAGGAGCATCTTTGGCTCTGGATATATGCTCACATCCTGGTGTCATTGGAGGGATGTGTATAAGGTGTGGGCAGAAGGTGGAAAACGAATCGGGTGTGGCTTTGGGATACATACACAAGGTTATTGTTAATGATTCAGTAGTCACTAAAATACACTTGTATATACATATGTTCTTTTCTTTTGGGTTGGGTTGGGTTGGGTGTGAGGAGGGTTGAGAGGAATGGAAGGCACTATATGATGTGTTGGGGACAGCTATTTCTAGTAAACTTTCTACATCTTTACTGGATTCTATAATTAATTTTGCAGAATTTGAGGCTTGCAGATGATGAAATTGCTCGATTGGGTGACAAGGACCTGAAGAACTTATTACGCCATAAAAAGCTGTACTTGGTTCTTGATTTAGACCACACACTTCTGAACTCAGCTAGACTTGCTGATATTTCAGCAGAAGAATTATACTTGAAGGACCAACGAGAAGTACTACCTGGTATGCTACTCTTACTGGTTATGTGCTAGAGGCTTATAATTTCGATGCTTATATCTTGCTCTTGAAAGTGATGAAAATCTGTTTTACTTGCACAAGGAAGCTAGGGAAGCAAACTAAGAAAATTTGTCCAACAGGTTATCCGTACTGCCTAGGTCTCCTAGCCTGAAATCTGTTAGAGATATTGGTAGTTGGAGGGAAACCTGCATCTCTACGATGTAGCTTGAATGGGATTTTATGGTGTATATATGTTATGTGACTACTAGTTTAATGAACTAGATAGGGAAGGAAGCTATACAGAAATACGAGGTAATGTGCACTACGTAGTTAAGAAAATCTGTGTTATTGGCATTACTAGTTGTACCTCTGATCAGATTTACTGTGCTAATTTCTGTCATCTGTCCTCAATCTACTACTAGCATCTTATTCCTTTAATTTGATCTCCAAGGTTTGAAAGGGATCTGATAGCAGGCAGGTATTTGTCTCTGTCGACAACTTGAGGTAAAGAAATGATAACGCTCCATCAGTATTAGGTTCTCCTTGTGCTTTCCCCATACCTAAAACAACACAGGTTTCAGTTCCCCCAAAAAACAACTCATTTCTCTAATTGAAAATTAGAATTTAGAAAAATATGGAACTTGATAATAGTCTTCGCTCAAATGAGATTACTCAGAGAGCTTTAGACGCAGAGCAGGTCTTACAGAGATTCATGCAGTTGGGACCAGATACAAGTTTAAGATAGTCATACAATACAAACACAAGCATTTAACTCAACCTAGGAGAGCTCAAACCAACTATCGGCAACATCAAGAAAAAGTATCCATAAATAAAAACACAAGAAAAATAACCAAGACTCTGATCAAATAGGGAGTAATAAACAACGGAAATTGTTCTACAGTTCTAGACGCAAAAGGTTTATAATAAGATTAAGAAGTCTGAATTAAAAGAGTTTCTGGGAGCAGAAGATTACAGTAAAGTGTAAACTACTGCTTTTATGAATTTCAGCACAAACAGACCCCATTTTAAAAAAAAAAAAAAAATATCAGCACTTGCATTTGGGAACATAAATGGGAGTTAAAGAAAAAAAATTGATGACAGCTATTAGCACAACTATGGTTCATAGAGAACTGACTAAAACATGAAGATATATAATGAACATGTAGAACAAGAAACTGGTTTGTAGATATTAAAAAGTTCCAAAGAGTATCTGACAAGAGATACAATGGAAAGCAAGTGGAGCAGAAACTTGTACATAATTATTAAT